AAGAAAGAAAGAAAGAAAGAAAGAAAGAAAGAAAGAAAGAAAGAAAGAAAGAAAGAAAGAAAGAAAGAAAGAAAGAAAGAAAGAAAGAAAGAAAGAAGGAAAGAAAGAAAGAAAGAAAGGAGGAAGGAAGGAAGGAAGAGAGAGAGATAAGAAAGAAATTGTGTACACAAGACCACAAACAACTAGCAGAGATGAATCTTCCAGGTGAGAATCATTCCTCAAAATCCAAAAAGGATAAAACAGCTCTATTGCTTGTTAAAATTTTTGAAAGTTCAAATATGTAGGTTTATTTTTCAATCTTATGTTTGGCTGCATAAAAGAAATTAGAAGTGCTCAAGGCCAGCCCTCTGCCACTTGAGCCACACCGCGCCACTTCTTGTTTTCTGGTAGTTAATTGGAAATAAGAGTCTCACAGACTTTCCTGCCCAGGCTGGCTTTGAACAGTGATCCTTAGATCTCAGCCTCTTGAATAACTAGGATTACAGGTATGAGCCACCAGAGTCTGGCTTATTAGAAGCATTTTTGGGTGGTACATTGTTTTTAGACATTTTTGGAGGGATAAGATCATGAATTTCTTTGTAGGTAAGGTGAAAAACTGATGATGAAGATCAGAAAGAACCAAAATGAGAACCTGGAGAGCCAACCCATGGTGGATGCCAGCTGCCACCTATCCCCTGGGCTGCGACATTCTGAGATTTGGTGTCAAGTGATTCTGGGTCCTCTTCCCAGTTCTTTTTCCTAATTGCAGAAAATGGAGGGGAATCTGATCCGTCTGTTTCTATGGAGACATCTGTGATGCCACATTGCTCCCAGCATCCCATCAGAGGGGGGCTTTCGAAGTTGGCCCACACTGGCCTGGACCTGACCATAGGTCCAAGCCCAAGGTCTTCGTGCCCTGGACAGTCTGAGCCAGACCACAGAGCAGACCTTGGGAGTGAGGGCCTGCACGGAGCAGTCCGCTGACAAAAGGACCACGCTCTGTCTTTCTGTCCTTCCTTCGCCATGCTGCCGAAGAAGAGCAGCCTCCTGGAGAAGCGCAGTTTGTCACTCCACCCCATCGCCAAGGGCATGAGGGTCCTCCAGAGTGTGGCCACTCGTGACTCACACAACCCCGAGAGGAAGCGGCGGGGGACCCGGGACAGGCTGGCCCGCGTCAGCCGCTGCTACTCCAAGATGGTAGGGGCCCCGGAGAGGAGCCACCCCGTGAGCCTGGGGCAGTGGGGAGCTGCCCCTCGGCCCCGGCCAGCTGCACAGAAGTTTGGTGTGGGCTGCCACAGGCAGTTGGACGGAGGCAAGCCTGAATCCTGAGCTCCCAGACATCCCTGGGAGCAGCCGGGCAGGGCTGACCTCTCCTCAGCCAGCCTGCATCCCGGGGTCTCTGGCCGGAAGCGGAAGATGTCTTTAGGCGTGACTTAGAAGGGAGGGTGAAGGGAAGGCCAGGTGGACGGGTCCCCTGCAGGCTTCGTGCGCTGGGGGAGAGGGGTGTGTGCTGAGATGGTGGTCACAGATGCGGGGCCCTCGGGGAGGCCCCAAAGGCCAACGGAACAAGGGGTGTTTGCTCAGGTCTGAGTGAGCCCTGCAGGGCCTCTCAGCCTGCCGGTTGGGGGGGCGGGGGGCAGGAAGGGGGGCCAGCCAGTTGCCTTCTCTCGGTAATGGTGGCCTCATTCCTCCCCCCCCCCTCCGCCATGGGTTCAAGGACATTCCCAGCCCTACCGGCTTCATATCCAAAATGGAGGAACTGAGGAGAATGTTCCTCATGCGGCCCGGATGCCCCCAGTTCAGTACCAGAGCCACATCCATGACGCACTTGGGTAAGAGTCAGCAGCCTTCAGCCCGGCCTGGCTTTCCAGGGAGCTGCAGCAGCTGCCCCCACAGGGCAGAGCAGGAGCGGCAGCCACGGCTGGAAAGGAGGGGGGGCTGGTGGCACAGCCTCCCGAGTCACTGTTACCATTCCCTGCCACCCTTGCTCCCCACCAGCCCAGTCGTGCAGAAGAAGGGAGATGGTGGGAGCTACTAGAAGCTTCAGGAAAGAGGCCCTTAAGGCCTACAATGGTCTGGTAGGAAAAAACACCCAGTAGGAGACCTGGAAGCAATGCATCTAGCACTTTTGGTTCTGATGCAGCCGCCAAGGCTCGGAGAAGGCACACTTCCTGTCTCCTAGGGGCACGGCCCCGTCCCGACCCCCTGCTCCCTGCCCCGTCCCTGAGTCCAGGCCCAGTCATGTGTTATGGGAGGAGGAGGCCCCCCCACACCCTAGGGGACAAGGCTCATGGTGTCCTCACAGAAAGGAGTCTGGGGACCCATCAAGGTCGAGGGGACGGCCCAGAAAGGGCGCTCCCCACCAGACCTGGGTGTGCGTGCCCTGGAGAGGTGCACCGGGCCGGGATAATGGAGGATTTAAGGTGAAAGTGGGTTGCGGGGAACTCACCTGAAGGACGAGGGTCTGCCTGGGTCCTGGACACCTGAGCATTCAGTCATTCTGGCTGCTCCCTTGTTTGCCATGATCATTGGAGTCCCAGGGTACCACATCCAGCCAGTTTACTAAATCTGAGGCATGGTTACAAAGATGTGTGTTTTCCTCCTGCATCCTTTTAAACAAAGGATGGGCCTCATCAGTCGCTCCTTTAAGTCAGGTGGCCTTCCTAAAGATGAGTATTTTTTTCCTAAATACTTTATGCTAGTCCTGGAGCTTGAACTCGGGTGCTTAGGTGCTGTCCCTTGGCTTTTTTTTTGGTCAAGGCTGGTACTCTACCACTTGAGCCATAGCTCAGCTCTTTGCTGGTTAGTTGGAGCTAAGAGTCTCAGGGACTTTTCCTCCCTGGGCTGGCTTTCACACTGCTCAAACCTCAGCCTCCCAAGTAGCTAGAATTACAGGTGTGAGCCACCAGCCTTCTGAACACTTCTTGATTGAAGGAGTCATTTTACTAAGTGCTTCTCCCCAGGACAAACGTCTTTCTTGTATACCCTCCCTGGGTTTCTGGCATGTAGTATTTGCTTGAGCCAGCAGGCAAGGTCAGAGGGAGGAGAATGCTGCTTTTGTAACTGTTTTTTGCAGCTCAGTGAGGGAGAGTAGAGCTTAGAGCATGGGAAATAGAGCTTGTGCTTTAACCACGCTGCTGACGGATGCACCATTCACCTGTATTCCAGGCCTGTGCCGGGGCCCCCTGTCCTGGTGAGAAGCTGTGGCACCCTGGCTGAGGGTCTGTGTCTCTTGGAGCTGAGGGGTCCGGCAGGGTGCTGGCTGAGGGTCTGTGTCTCTTGGAGCTGAGGGGTCCGGCAGGGTGC